ACCAGTTTCACTTTGACACGATTTGGAACCTCCTTATATTCAAAAATCCGCTCCACTTCATTCAGCCAATCAATAAATCCTTCAGCCTGCAACGTACCAGAAAACTCGGGCAGATCCACTCTGAAACCGAGATCCACATGACGATCCTCCTGTCCACGATGCTCCCAAACTCGAGCACGATGGTGATACGGGTTTTCAAAACTGGTATCGGAATCGTGACCTTCTACATCATGATTATCGAACTCCTGCTCCGCCAAATGTTGGGTTAACTCCACAACTTGTCTCTACAAATCTTCAATCGTCACATTCTGAATATTACGATCACGGTGCGGGACTTCCTCAATCGGAACCTGTCCTCGACGACCACGACCACGTCCACCAACCATTATAACTGATGGAATTTATCTCCCAAGAAGATGCTGATGCTCTGATACCAACTGACGCCGAGTAGGATAGTGATTATCCTATTGGCTTGCTGTAGCAGATGATTCGCAAAAAAAGAACGACAGAAAATGCCCAAAAAACCAAAGAAAATATTCTGAATTCAACTCAATATTATTAATAATGTAGAATGATCAAAACTAACCCACAAGCCAGGTTAAATGGCTGCGAAATACGAAATTATGGGAAAATTATCAAAAATGGCAAAATCTCAAAATTATACCAAAATAAAATTTAAGTAAAAGGAGTAAGTTGCCAAAAATTTGGCTCAATTCGAGTTTTCTAACATATTTAAAAAAGGAAACAAAATATTACCATAAATAATAAAAAATAACTTAAAATTGAATTTTGGAAAGGAAAACAGTGAATTTTGGGCTTGAGATTGACGTCCACCGAGCATAACTGGGTGGCCACGACGTGCGCGTCGAAGAGAGCTTTCCGGATTGGGGTCATAATAGCGATTTCGATAACCGTAGCCAAAGTTATGGTTAAATTACCAAAAACGCGTCAAATTCCCCCCGATTAAGGAAATAATGGTGATTCACTTTCCATCTTTGCGCCGATCCGCCATCTCATGGTATCTCAACGTCATCATCGTGCTATCTGACAAATCAGCATTACTCGACTCAGATCCTCCTGCATTATATGCTCAGTCAAAATGGAAAAATTAAATATATGTGACAGCTAGGGGTTTGTAATTTTCCTAATTCTCATTCCTTTTGCAGTAGCAAGAGAAATGTAGAATCCATTGCATTTAAGTGAGTTCATGATGATCAGCAATAAATGATTGAATTAAAAGAATTAAATAAAAATAAAAATCAAATGGAGACCAATTTTGTTCCTCACAATGTGTTGCATGTGTCAGAATCTAGGTATCTAAGGTTTACGAATTTGAATCAAGAGGATGGTGATATACAATATAAGTGATATATGCAAAGAAAAAATATTTGTCTTTTGCAAATGAAGAATGACCCCCTTTTACATAGGGAAGGAAACGTAACACTAAATATCATGGTGATTTCATTTAAACTAATTGACCTCGATTTGTATGATTTTTACCGGATCATTTACTTGTGACTGGTGGATTAGGTTTTAGGAGTGGTGCAATGATTGCCTAGGTTGTAGGATTGTCACGTAACCTATCTCTTCTTCTCTATCGAGGGGTTTAGGAGTTTGGGGGGACAAATCCTCTGTCACTAAATGATTGCTGCTTAACTAGAAATAATTATTAACATTAAGTAGTAACTAATTTAACTAACCTTATTGAGTTTGGTCATAGCGATGTGTCAAGCTCATTGGATTTTCGAAGTGGGCATACGTTGTCCGGTATTCTTGGTGGACCAGAGTTTGGTGGAGCTACTTGTCCAATGTCAAAACTTGGAGGTCAACATAACTCAAGTGCCAATAGGTCTCTTCTCATTGAGTAACTTATTACACTTTTACACGATCATATTCAAATAATGTAAAATTTACAATATGCATGTTGAATTGAATAAGTCTTTATAACAAAATGATTCGATAGCTTGATGGAGAAAAAAACTTGCATTTGCAAATAATGTAACCATGACGTGTAAATTTTTGTATTCCAAATACCTTTTATAAATTAAATTAGTATGTTTTAAAAAAAGGTAAATTTGTTATTTTTTAAAATTATATTTATACTAAAATGGGGGAGGTTATGGTCATATGGAGGTGTCATCTGGCTAATGAGTATATTTTGATTATTTTCTCAAATCAAGAAGTCCCACAATTTTCTTGGATCAAAACACCCTTCCATCCCAATAGCCCATCAAATGATCCAACCAATACTAAACACACGTCAAATTCTACCTAAAAATTAATATTCGTCAACTTTTGGCGATGCATAATTATGTTTATTTTATGTGATTCTTTATTCGAATTATAGGTGTTCAATTGCTTCTAGGGCAAGAAACTTGTTCCTCAGCAAGATGCATATATATATATATATATAATTTTCTGTAATCCTATTATTGGCTAATTAATTATTGGCTAATTAATTGCAGTCAATTACTTGTCTAATTAAATTAGTTAATTTATGTGATGATTAAGTGGCGGTCACATTCAATTTTTAATCAAGAAGATTACTACTAATTAAATATGAAAGACCAAAAAGAGTAGACAAGTTATGGGGCCCTGAAAAGTCGCGTGTTTATAGAGTATATGTTAGGAAGAAAATAAAAATATTCATCTCTATTATAATTTAATCTTTATGTACATTAATACATCTATTCTTTTGTCACATCAGTATAATATAATCAATTTTTTGTTGTCAAAATTTGATTGGCTAGAAAACATGCTAAAACTTTAAGTTTTAAAATAACGTTATTATTGAACTGTTAAATGGTAAAGAAGACAATAAATGAGACATTTGTCGCAATGATTTTTGATTTTTTACAACTGATTTTTTTGAAAAAATGGAGCAAAGTATTTGTACCTTGACATGATAATTGTTTATGTATTTATTATTATGCAGTTTAGTTTTATTTTAACGTTGATGATATGAGTTAGTTTCATATTTTATCTGCTCTATTTCAACCGTGAAAACTAATTGTCCAGCCAATTCATTGGCAGGATGAAATATATGATATGATTTATTAATTTTTTTGTTCAATTTTATTTAATTTAGCATACTAATTATATAAGAATTTTGAAAGTTTTTCAACGTTTTAGAAGTAAAATTAGCAATAAATTTTATGGAATCCGTTACAGACAAAAAATTGTTAAAAATTCTTATTAGAAAAAATTAAAAGAATTTATTGCAAAAAAAATTCTTTAGTTTATTTTGATCTTGAATGTTTCAAGAATCCACCATACAAGACTAAAATTCACACGCCATGATATCGTTGAAAACTTGAACTCTTAAGTTCCTCCTAATAAGTAAACACAAGACCTTCGACCCACATACACAGCCACCAGATCCACCTTAGATATATATACCATTCACACCAATAGGAGTATTTCCAAAAGATTTTCTATTTTCAAAGAACATATTCAATAATTTAGAGACTATAGAGTATTTATAAATTCAGAGAATAATTTTTTTAAAGTATTCTAATAGACTATTTATATTTAACACTCAATTTTATTGCTTCCAAAAAATATTTATTACATTTTTATATATTTTATTTTCACTCATTTCCCTTCAAATTATTATAGTATTTTATTTCATTTAAAATTGAAATACTTTGAATACATTTAAATATAAACTTATTCTCTAAATTAAAATGTTTATTTAAAGAATAGCTTGAAACATAATTTTAATGTTTAATTCTTTAAATAAAAAATTCATTCTTTAAATAAAAAATATCTTCTATTTAACGAGTCTCAAACTCTCTGCATATTTTGTATATATTAGTTTTATTTTAACGTGGATCAGATGAGTTAGTTTCATATTTTATCTGCTCTATTTCAACCGTCAAAACTGACTGTTCAACCAATTGATTGACAGGATGAAATATATGATATGATTTATTAATTTTTTGTTCAATTTTATTTAATTTAGCATACTAATTATATATCAGTAAACTATTTTAAGAATTTTGAAAGTTTTTCAACGTTTTAGACGAAAATTAGCAATAAATTTTATGGAATCTATTACGGACAAAAAAAGGGTCAAAAGTCTTATTAGAAAAACTTAAAAGAATTTATTGCAAAAAAATTCTTTAGTTTATTTTGATCTTGAATGTTTCAAGAATCCGCCATACAAGACTGAAATTCACACGCCATGATATCATTGAAAACTTGAACTCTAACTTCCTACTAATAAGTAAACGAAGACCTTCTACCTACATACATAGCCACCAGCTCCACCTTATGTAGATATAGATTTATATACCATTCCCATCAATAAGCGTATTTCCAAAAGATTTTCTATTTTTAAAGAACATTTTCTATCATGTAGAGACTAGAGAGTACTTATAAATTCAGAGAATAAAAAAATTGAAGTACTCTATACTATTTATATTTAACACTTAATTTTACTGCTTTCAAAAAGTATTTATTATTTTTTTCGTATATTTTATTTTCACTAATTCCCCTTCAAATTATTATATTATTTTATTTCATTGAAAATTGAAATACTTTAAATACATTTAAGTGTTAACTTATGCTCTAAATTAAAATGTTTATTTAAAGAATCTCTTGAAACATAATTTTAATGTTCAACTCTTTAAATAAAAAGCATCTTATTTCTATTTTTAAAAGAGTCTCAAACTCTCTGCATATTTTGTATATATTAGTCTTCATTAGGATAAAAAAATTATAAATAACGATACTTATACATAATGAAATTATATAATGATTTATATACAGATGAAATGTCAAAAAAAAGAGTGCGCGAGGATTTGAATTTTTTTTTTTGGTTAAAAAATTATGATTTAATCACATCACATCACATCATCTATGTGTGTGTGTATATATATATATATATTCTACATGTAGCACGATAAAAAAATTATATATATAAGATTCACTATTACATATCTCTTAACCGCCTTCCACTGCATTTTCACTTTCTCTATACAACGGCTTCATCCAACATGGCCAAATCCTTAAAAGCATCATTTCCAAGTGATGCATCCTGCGCAATTATTATACTGTTTCTCATATTGGTGGGCTCATCAGCATCATCGTCACTAAGAATGAATAATTCTCTATTGAGAAATAACCAGCTGAAAGACTACCCCTGCGAGGAAATCTATGTTGCAAGAGAAGGTGAAACTCTCCACAGTATCAGCGACAAATGCGATGATCCCTTCATAATCGAGCAGAACCCACATATTCTTGATTCCGATGATGTTTTTCCTGGTCTTGTCATCAAGATTACTCCTAAGCCTAGGAAGGTATAATCTTCATCACCATACTGGAGATTGTAGCCTATAGGGCCTTTTTCTTTTGTTCTTCAGGAGAAAAATAGATTATTGTACACTTTTGTTATATTCTAGTTTGTAAAGAGATAAAAAAAAGAAGAAATTTTATGGAAAATTACTATTTTTCTTATTGTTTATATATCTAAACAATTTCTTGATTGTATAGTAGATTCTAATTAACGTATGGAGAGAGAAAGGGTGAAGAAATTCATTGATGTGTATGTGTGCATGTTACACAAGGTGTTTCTACTGTTCAGAAATTTGATTTTATTTCTTTTGCAGTATTTTCTTCATTACATAATTTGGAAATATTAAGGTTCTTTTCCTTTTTCTATTTTTTTGTGAAAGGAATAACTGTTTAATTATTATTTATTTCTCAGCCAGTAAAAAGATAAAATATTTATTTTAAAAAGAATAATGTGAGCTAGTTTGGAAATCATCATAAGTATGATTGTGTATGTAAAGATATAAACACTGATGCATTTTCCAATTCGTAAAAAAAATGTAATAGAATAAAGCCACTCGTCCAGACTTAAAAATAGGGAAGTGGAAAGACAGACTAATCCGTCAAAAAATGATAGAGTTTTTTTTTTTAATTTTTTCAAATTGTCCAATCATGCATCGACATGTGTTCCACCTGAATTTGAGTATGGATGTGTAGCATGACTGAATGTAATAACTCTCGTGCTCGAGTCTAGCCACCATCTCAGGGCTTTAGATTTGCTCGACTAGGAAGAGATATTTCACATTATTTATGGTACTTAAATATAAGTTCCTGTAATTAAAATAAATTATTTATGCTCGACTAGGGTTTAAATTATTGATTTATGAACTTAGGATTTTTGGTCTGCAATCTGAATAGTGCCAACTGCAACCGCTTTGGCTAATTGAAAGCATACATTTTTTGAATGTATGTATTCTATTTGGGGATAAACTCCAGAAAGTTATTTCATTAAGGTTTTTTTCTATGTTCTATAGAAAATTAGAACCTGCGCACCTGTAAGTTCCTGGATAAAGTCAACACGTCTCTATAAATTAATTTTTCTTACTTTAATCAACAAAATACAGTTCTCATTTTTTTTTATGTTATTTTAATAAAATTTCAATTTTTTTTTCTATAATGAAAATTTTAAATGGATTGCATGCACATGTCGTGGACTCCCAAGCGGCCCGTTTAACTCGTCCAAGAACAATCTAGTCTTCCAATTGGAGCCCAACTCGTCCAAGAACAATCTGGTCTTCCAAATGGAGCCCAATTGGTGAACACCCCCACCCCACCCGGCCCACTCCCTCTCAGTCTCTAACATTTCAACCAGGAAATGGTGGCTAATAGCTGCCCCACCCACGCACTTACTTTTCCACAAAGGCCTTTAACCAAAATTTTTGTAATAAAAAAAAAATGTAAACAAAATTGTTATGGTCGAAAATACCCCCCTTATTTGCAAACCAAGAGAAGAGAAATAGAGAGAAAAAAGGGAGGAAAAAAAAAAAAAAAAAGGAGTCCGGATCCGCCGCCGCCTACCGACGACCCGGACCTGTCCTACTTCGACATCTCTGGACACACCATGATCAGCTGGAGAAACGCCATTTTCTGGAAGGTTAGACATGTTCTCTATAAATAATTTCTTTGAAAATGTGTAAGTTTGAATGTTTAGGATTTGAATAAGTTAAATTCAATTTTTTATGGTTAAAATGGAAGAAAAAATCGAATTTGAGGTTGAAATGTTGGAAAAACTGGAAAAATGAGACGGAGCTCGCCGGAAATAGAGTTTTTCCGGCGAGCTCCATGCTACCGGTCCGGACCCGACCATTCATATATATATATATATATATATTTTATTTTTTTTTCATTAATTTATTTTAATTTTTATGTTAAAAAATGTAATTAAGTATGAAATAAATAATATGTTAAGATAATGAACGGAATATTTAAAAATAGATTAAATAGAATTTTAATTTTTTGTTTTGACATAAATATATGTTTAGCAATTAAATATACGAAATAAATAATAAATATATGTTTAGTAATTAAATAAGTTTAGTAATTAAATATATGAAACAAATAAGATACATTTTAAGAAAATTAAATAATTAATTATGGAAACAGTTAATATAATTAATTAAAAAATATTTAAATGAAAATATTAATATATTTTAATTCAAATAAATAATCGAAATAGAGTAATTAAACATGAAATCAATAATATACATAATTAACGAAATATTTAAAGAATAAATGAAATTGAATAATAATTTTCTTACTTAACCAATTAAGATAATTAATTAAAGAAATAGTAAAATGAAAAATCGAATAAAATATTAATATTTTTATTCAAATAAATAATTGAAATAGAATAATTACATATGAAATGAATAATATACATAATTAACGAAATATTTAAAAAATAAATTAAATTGAATAATAATTTTCTTACTTAACCAATTAAGATAATTAATTAAAGAAATGGTTAAATGACAAATCGAATTAAATACTATTGTTTTTATTGAAATAAATAATTGAAATAGAATCATTAAATATGAAATGAATAATATGCGTAATTAACAAAATATTTAAATAATAAATTAAATTGAATAATAATTTTCTTACTTATCGAATTAAGATAATTAATTAAAGAAATGGTTAAATGACAAATCGAATTAAATATTATTATTTTTATTGAAATAAATAATTGAAATAGAATCATTAAATATGAAATGAATAATATGCATAATTAACAAAATATTTAAATAATAAATTAAATTGAATAATAATTTTCTTACTTATCGAATTAAGATAATTAATTAAAGAAATGGTTAAATGACAAATCGAATTAAATATTTTTATTTTTATTCAAATAAATAATCGAAATAGAATAATTAAATATGAAATGAATAATATGCATAATTAACAAAATATTTAAATAATAAATTAAATAGAATAATATTTTTTTACTTATTGAATTAAGATAATTAATTAAAAAAATAGTGAAATGAAAAATCGAATTGAATAGTATTATTTTTATTCAAATAAATAATCGAAATAGAATAATTAAATATGAAATGAGTAATATACGTAATTAAGGAAATATTTAAAGAATAAATTAAATAGAATAATATTTTTTTTACTTATCGAATTAAGATAATTAATTAAAAAATAAGTGAAATGAAAAATCGAATTAAATAGTATTATTTTTATTCAAATAAATAATCGAAATAGAATAATTAAATATGAAATGAGTAATATGCGTAATTAAGGAAATACTTAAAGAATAAATTAAATAGAATAATATTTTTTTTACTTATCAAATTAAGATAATTAATTAAAAATAGTGAAATGAAAAATCAAATTAAATAGTATTATTTTTATTCAAATAAATAATCGAAATAGAATAATTAAATATGAAATGAGTAATATGCGTAATTAACGAAATATTTAAAGAATAAATTAAATAGAATAATATTTTTTTGCTTATCGAATTAAAATAATTAATTAAAAAAATAGTGAAATGAAAAATCGAATTAAATATTGTTATTTTTATTGAAATAAATAATCGAAATAGAATCATTAAATATGAAATGATTAATATGCATAATTAACAAAATATTTAAATAATAAATTAAATTTAATAATAATTTTAAATTTAATAATAATTTTCTTACTTATCGAATTGAGATAATTAATTAAAGAAATAGTGAAATGAAAAATCGAATTAAATATTATTATTTTTATTCAAATAAATAATCGAAATAGAATAATTAAATATAAAATAAGTAATATATACATTCAGATAATTAACGAAATATAATTTTTAATGAAGTATTAAATAATCAAATATGTGAGAATTTTTTTTGTTTAACTATTTTAATATGTGAATGGATGAATCTATTTATTGCTTTATTAATATGAAATCTAATTGGTTAATTTTGAAGATACGATATTTTATTTATAATCTCTTGTGTATGGTTTTAACATGTATTATTTTTGTAGGATGAAATATCATATGGACAATGATCTGAGAGCTCATTTGGGAAAAGTTACGGCGTATTGCAACTTTTTCAGTTATGCGACCGTGATTGAGGAATTGGATGAGGAGCACATCGACATTCTCTATCGGTCGTTTTTATGGTCCTTCTATCCGTTGAAGGACGTGCAATTCTCTGGATAGATTATTGATTCGTTATTACTCCGGCTGCTTAAACCAGTCGATAGCGATCATCTTTTTTTTGCTATGGGGGACGGGAAGGTATCGAGATTCTCGATCCTTGAATTTGCCCTCATTACAGGCTTGAGATATATAGGAGAAGAAGTGAGAGCCCGTATTATACCAAATAAAAGGTTATTGGATTTATATTTTGGAGATAAAGGGCCAGTTACACCACCACAGTTAAATGACGCATTTAAGAGATGCGATCACATGTTAGACAAGGTTAAGCTAGGATTGGTGTATATACTGAGTATATTGAGGTGTCGACATCGTAGGACGTCGATTGACCTTTTTTCATTGGATGTTGTTGATGATATCGATACTTTCAACAGCTTTTCATGGGGTCGAAGATGTTACTCCGATACTCTCCACGTATTCAGAAGGGTACATACTATGCCAAAATCGGAGAGGGGCGACCGCAAATATGATGTATATGGCTTTTGCATGGCTTTGCAGGTAAATATTCAGCTTAACATAATGCGTGTTAAACTTTTTTATTAAATGTATAAATAAATTTTTTTTTTTTTGGTAATTGTTACAGTTGTGGGCATATGAAGCTATCCCTGCTTTGGGTAGCAAATGGGCGATCAGAAAGGAGACTAGCTACCCACGAATGCTTCATTGGCGAGCACATGAGAAGCCATCGGCTAAAGATTTGACAGCTATCCTCGACGATCTTCAAGTGAGTATTATATATTTGTAATTTATATTGTACGTACATTAACTCGGCTCGATACATGCTCATTAACATGTTGAAATATGATATGTCAGCTCGAAATTCATGCTGAGTTGGTTGTTTCGATGGAAGAGGAGGATCAAATGTATGTACGTGAATTGCATGTTCGACCTATTGAAAATGATCCAGTGTTTGATTCCGTTCCGGATAGAAATAGGGTACGTTTATTTAAGATCATTATTTAATCTGATTTATAATATTCATGTGTGGATTATTAATATTAATTGTCTTCTCTATGTAGGAGCGTCATCCAGTAGAACGACGAGCACTTCCACGTAGGAGATCTCCTTCACCTCCACCGATGAGATCTCCGTCACCTCCACCAATGAGATCACCTCTACCGCCATTATCACATTCTCCGAGGGGATCTCCGTCTCTCGCACCCACCCACCTTCCACGTGGATCGCCTGCACCCAGTCAGGCCCGTCATTCAGATGATTTCTTTGCACGCATGACTGATATTATTAGAGAGGAACTGGGAACGATGCGACGTGAATTTACGACAGAGGTAGTAGCACTGCGAGAGGAGATAGGGGTGCTGCGATGGGATTTTACGACAGAGGTAGCAGCACTGCGAGATGAGATTAGAGTGCTGTGACGAGATTTAGGAGAGCTTCATACTGAGGTTGCAGCACTTCGGGGCGATGTAGTAGGCTTCCGAGGTTCTGTTAGAGGGAGTGTCGGGGAGACTGGTGTTCCTCGAGATTGGTGGGCAACGGCCACAGGAATCGATGAGTTTTTTGATTCGGTGCCGGAGCCAGGGAGGGAGGGGATGGAGGTCGGGTCAGAGGTGCCGGAGGAGGCCGGGATGGCCGGGGTGGAGGTACCGGAGGAGGCCGGGATGACAGAGGGGGTGGAGGGAGGGACAGGGGTGCTGAAGGGAGAGACAGGAGTGTCGGAGGGGGTGACCGAGGAGGTAGCGGAGGGGACACCAGAGGTGGTAGTAGAGGGGGATGAGGGGGTTGCGGAGGACGAGAGGACGCCAGAGATGATGGATGACGATATAGTATTCCTGTCGGAGGGGGCGACGGAGGTGCCGAAGGGTAAGAAGCATGCTAATGACGCGCCATAGCTGATGGTCAGTAAGAGATCGAGATTGCCATCACAGTACATTGTTTCCCCATACACGGCTGAGGCGAAGAGAAGGGGGTTTGTGGATGGGACGTTCCCCAATCTTTTTCGCGACGTCGACCCGGTCAGACAGAATGCGTTCCATGATTGATTCAAATCCCTTAAATCCGAGTAAGTATTTTATGATTTTGCTACTATTTTTTTTGTATTTTTCATAACTTTTTTTCATTTTTCAGAGATAGTTATACCATCGGCTGTATGACCGTGCACAACTCTAAAAAGTGGTTCGAAGATGTACTCACGACCTCAACTTGGCTCGCCGATGATGTAAGTTTTTTGAGTTTTCATTTATTATATTTATAGAAGTTCTTGGTTCATTTACTTAAACGTCTCTATCTTTTTTGTTGTTTTTTTTTTTATTTCAGCATATCGACTTGGCTATGGAATTGTTACGCGATCGGGCTCAGAGATACCCGAGATCTTATGACAGTCCTAGTCGAGTTATCCTGAGCTCTGAGTTTGTTCGTATCGTAGCTATTGAGCATCACCAGCTCCTAAGCAAGGGGAATGAATATGTTCTGTCCGAGTACATGGTAGAGTGGGTGATTGGGCTACAGCCGAGGTGCGGAAAGTCGTGGACGGATTGTACACATATGTACATTCCAGTAATCGCGAACTCACACTGTTTTTCAGTGGAAATGGTATTTGCTAATTCCACTATGTATGTGTACAATTCTGATCACAGCTGTCTGACACAAAGTCAACTGGAGCAAATACTGGAGCCAATGGCTGTGATCGTGCCCATGATGGCTAATCAGGTGATGATTCGAGTAAATGACAGATTAGCCATTGTGCGGAACATGACGACGGCAAAATAAGAAAGATTGTAAGGATTTAAAACTTTTTAATTTTAACATTTAATTTTCAGTTATATGTTATCAAACTAATATATTCTTCTTCGGTTGCAGGGGCGATTGTGGCTTATTTGCAATAAAGTACATAGAGTTTTTGAGTATTAGCCGCAATGTTGAGACAATAAATCAGTCTTAGATTGATATGTGGAGGCATAAATTAGCTTGCGACTTATATGAATATAACTGTGATCCTTAGTGCATTGTATATTATTTTATTGAAATGTAAATGTTGTTTACTTCAGTATGATTCGTATTGTAATGTAATAATTTTTTAAAATATTTAATTAACAAAATATTATTATTTTAATTTACATTGTTGTTGTGTCTGTAATCTCTCCATATTGTCAGTTAATATATATCGTTGTCTCATTTGTATTAAAAGAAAAAAAAAACAAAATATTATTATTTTCATTTATATAAGTAATCAAAATATTGCAATCAAATATTAAATAAATAATATACACACTAAGATAATTAACGAAATATAATTTTTAAAGGAACATAAATAATCAAATATACGTGTCAAATGAAGATAATTAATGAAAGAAATACTTAAACGAAAACTTGAACTAAGTGCTATTATTTTTATTCAAATAAATAATCGAAATAAGTAATTAAATATGAAATAATTAATTTTTTACTTAACCAATTAAAAAAAAACTTAACCAATTATACATTTATTATACTTAACCTATTTTTTTATTCGAATATGATGTTAGAAAGAGTAATTAAACAATGTGATTAAAATTACATCCGATTTAAATTGAGAATATAAAAAGCATATTACAAATAGAGAATACATATGATTTACATAGATACTACACATCCGTCGAGTCATTATTTAGTGGGATCTGACTTGTACAAAATCGACGTGTATGCGCCGCACCTCCCGCACTTACGCGGTTGTGGAAACTCTCATGTAGATGGTATTCTAGACGTCCGTCTACGATCAGGAGTACGCGTTCGAACTTCAGGTGGCAACAAATTATTAAGTGCTACAATATAATCAGGAACTTCCCATTCGACTTCATTTGGTAGAGGAAATATAGTTTCGGCATACGGTGCTCACCAAAAATCAGCCATGTAATAATGACTGCATAAGTTGTGTGGTGGAAATCCTCTATACATAGCCACTGCTACAGCATGCGCACATGGAAAACTTTCCAACTGAAATTGTCTACACGTGCAGGTATTGTCATTCAAGTCTACAATGTATCCAACATTACGCCCACATCTCATGGAGAAGCGAAATTGATCTAGTGGTTCCACAAATAGAGCTTTTGCCACTTCCAGAGTTTTGAATAGTCGATCTTCCTGTGCCGGAGCTAGCACACTTGTGCAATTCTGGGATTCCTCACGCCGGTCATAAAACTATTGTTGCAACTTGTTACGAATATATTCAATCATTGCGAGAATTGGTAACTCTCGATCCTTCTTGAATAATGCATTGAGCGACTCCGCATTATTCGACGTCATCATATTGTATCGACGTCCTGGAAAATGTAACCGTGCCCAATGTTCGACCCCCATATTTGATAGATATTCCCATGCACTTTCTGATTTATGTTCTATTTCGCCCATGAACTTCGTAAACTCTTCAAAGCTGTAAGCTTCTGCAGCTCTCCTAAACAATGCAACGATGCCACTGCCCCGGTACCTAGTCTTCAGGTTGCCCTGAATGTGGTACATACAATAACCATGATGTGCTTCCGGAATAATTTCGGCTATACCATTTATTATTGACTGCCCCCGGTCAGTCACAAATGCAAGGTTTTCGATGCCCCCAATTACTTCTCTCAGCTTCGTGAAGAACCAACGCATTGTTAGATCAGTCTTTCTATCGACAATGCCAAATGCAAGAGGGTAAATTTGTATGTTGGCATCTTGACATGTAGCAATAATCAACTTCCCTTCATATCTAGCTTTTAGGGCTGTACCATCAACTAGAATTAGATGTCGCATCGCATTTCGAAAACCTCTAATGCATTGTCCAAGAGTCATAAAAAAATACTTGAAACGATTCTGCCCATCGGTTTCAATAAAAAACGCCGAGTCAGAATTAGTTCTCACCATGTTGTGGCAATACCTGGTCAATTTGGCATAACTCTCCTCTGTCGAACCCATTAAATCTTCCAATGCACATTCTTTTGCCTTCCAGGCCTTCTAGTAACTCATAACTATCACATACTCCCGACGGATGTCATTGATGATATCTGTAGATCTGTAAATCGTCCGTGGGTCCTGAAACTTATGCATTATCTGTTGACCAATAAACCATGATCGAGCTTGCCTGTGATCATTTTGACGAATACCCACTTCACAAGTATGTTCCCACGCATACTTGCGAACTATAGAGAACTCATTTGTATCCATTTTTGTCGCTCTCAAACGCCAACTGCAATTGTTGTCCACATAAATAATTGTGTATGTAGACTTGTTTGATTTTTTTTTACCTTAAACTCAAATTTATTTTTCATTGCAATTCGGTGCACAGCTTCTTGCAAATCTCTTTTCGTGTCAAACAATTGATCGACATGTAAATCTTCATCATCAGGAACTATACGCGAACAATTAGAAGACCGTGTACTCGACCCAGCATGTGAACTTCTACCAGATTCATGTCTCTGTCTGGATAAACAATCAAATCCTGATTTGTAAATGGCCTTTCATCCTCGTTGTCTTGAACTTCCTCATAAATCCTTTGTGTAACGGTGACATCATGGCGAGTAGCAACTGTCCCAGGAATAACCACATCATCATCACGAGCAATCTCAACAGTATCCCAAAAATCATTTTCGTTACGATTCTCTCCATCGAAAACTTCGTGTTCACCTTCGGGGACATTTTTCTTCAACAAAGTTACTCAAATAGGAGTTGTCTTTCGACCTTGGTTCAATTGAATTACATGCTTTATTTGCATTTCAGAAGTAACCTTCAAAGGTGGAATCGAAATTGTTGAATTCTTTTGAAATAAAAATCCCAATTCCATATCGTACTAAGCATGTTTTGTATTTCATTGTACATTTCCGTAAACGATATATTTTTTGTTATCGAAATAGCAGCTACCTCTTCTCCTTCACTCATCCATTTCCATTCCTATTAACTATTTTCTTTCATTTGAAATTCGTCGAAATAACAGATTGGGACACATGCTTTTGCCATACCTACATTCGGAATTAAACAATTATCAGCGACATTATAGTAATCATAAAAAATATACTCAAGCTCATTGTTCTGGAAATGTTCCATAGTTTTTACACTATAGAACACAATTGGTAACAAAAAAATAATCAGTATGAAAATTTAATTCGATTATTTATTTGAATAATTTGAATTAATATTTAATTCGATTTTTCATTTCACTATTTTTTTAATTAATTATCTTAATTCGTTAAGTAAGAAAATTATTATTCAATTTAATTAATTCTTTAAATATTTCGTTAATTACGTATATTATTCATTTCATATTTAATTATTCTATTTTGATTATTTATTTGAACAAAAATAATAATATTTACTTCAATTTTTCATTTCACTATTTCTTTAATTAATTATCTTAATTCGATAAGTAAAAAAAAAATATTCAATTTAATTTATTCTTTAAGTATTTCGTTCATTACGTATATTATTCATTTCATATTTAATTATTCTATTTCGATTATTTATTTGAATAAAAATAGTAATATTTAATTCAATTTTTTATTTCACTATTTCTTTAATTAATTATCTTAATTCGATAAGTAAGAAAATTATTATGCAATTTTATTTATTATTTCAATATTTCGTTAATTATGCATATTATTCATTTCATATTTAATTATTCTATTTCGATTATTTATTTGAATGAAAATAATAATATTTAATTCGATTTGTAATTTAATCATTTCTTTAATTAATTATCTTAATTGGTTAAGTAAAAAAATTATTATTGAATTTAATTTATTTTTTAAATCTTTCGTTAATTATGTATATTATTCATTTCATATTTAATTATTCTATTTAGATTATTTATTTGAATAAAAATAATAATATTTTATTCGATTTTTCATTTGACTACTTCTTTAATTAATTATCTTAATTGGTTAAGTAAGAAAATTATTATTCAATTTCATTTATTCTTTAAATATTTCGTTAATTATGTATATTATTGATTTCATGTTTAATTACTCTATTTTGATTATTTATTTGATTAAAATATATTAATATTTTCATTTAAGTATTTCTTTAATTAATTATATTAATTGTTTCCATAATTAATTCACTAAACATATATTTATTATTAAACATATATTTATTATTTATTTCGTATATTTAATTACTGAACATATATTTAAGTAAAAAAAAATTTCTATTTAATCTATCTCTAAATTTCGTTCATTATCTTAACATATATTATTTATTTCATATTTTATTACATTTTTTAACATAAAAATTAATATTGATTCAGAAAAAAAGAAGAAGAAAAATTCGGGTCCGGATCCGGACCACGACGACCATATTGTGGTCCGTAACAGACCATAATTCGTTCCGACGATCGGTGCCGGCCTTCACTTCGGTTCTAATATTATTTTCTATACCATTTAAAAAAATATACGACTTCAATAAAAACAAAATTAAATACTAGGAAAAGATACTTACCGAATTAAAGTGCTGAAATTTAATGAAATATTTTTGTTGAGGTTGGTAACTGATAATCTATGAAATTTTGAGGTTGAAGTGGATGAAAAATGAAAGAGTTTTTATCGTGTTAGAGTAAACTAATGAAAAAGAGTGACTTCGTTTTCAAATCTCAATTGAGAGGTGTTTGGATTTTAATTTGTAACTTAAGGATATTTTGGTCTTTTTAACAAATTTCTATTTTTGTAATTGAATAACTCATTTAAGGGTATTTTTGTCTTTTACACAAGAATAGGCCTTTGTGGTGAATGTCAATTTTTTTTGGTTAAAGTGGAAAATTGGTTGTTTGATATGGCTAATATTAAAAGTACCCCAATTTCAACCTCACTACTGATTTCTGATCCTTCTGTGAGTACTTTTCAGTTCAAATCATAAACAAGAAGCTCTTCCAGGCAAAAGTTCTTTCTTTCTCTACTCTACAAATATATTTCAATAGCAATTTCTGTTTTCTTTTACATATTTGTGGGATTTCATTTCGGGTTCTTTAATTCATCTTTGACGACATCCATTTTCGACGACACCCATGGCACACCCATCCTCCAGGTCAATTATGATCCTCATTGCGCTCCTATAGATGTCTTCATATCATCAAACAAAGCTGAAGATCAAAATCTATAGCTAGAAAATCGGAGTTCGCGTTTAGCCGGTAGTTCTTGAGTTCAATCTTGAAAATTGATTGTTTGGTTGATGAATTGATGCAATTGATGGAGGACCCATAGTTGTGACAACATTAGTTGACAATTACATGCTAGAATTGGTGGATTGAAGCCCTGTAGCATCATCAATCGGAAGGGGATCAGTAGAGTTTCTTTGTGTACGAACTGTCAAGCCCGTTTCTACAATTTCTGGCCAAAATTGACGATGACCCATAGGTTCATTAGGTTTGCCTCGAAGAGGCCGTGCTAGAAGGAGTAGTCCGCGATCGTCGATCGTGACACCGACGCCGAAAAATGTGTTTGAATTTGTCGATTTTACTGTTGAAGAAATCGCCTGGTTCTACAATTTCTGGTTAGAATTGACGATGATCCATAGGTTCATTAGGTTCTCATTGAAGAGGAGGTGCTGGGAGGGGTGGTCCTCCATCGTCGATCATGACGTCAACGTTGAAAAATGGAATTGAATTTGTTGATTTTGCTGTTGAAGTTGCGTGGACAGCCTATTTTGGAGCGATTTTTGGGTCAATTTCTTTAAATTTTCGGCCAGTGGTTGGGTGGGTTGTGAAGAGGAAAGTCAGGGCTTCAAGTTGGTATGTTGGTCCGACGGCCAAGCTAATCGGAAGGTAGCTGAAAATGGCTGGTAAGTGGTGGTGGCATGGGGTGAGATGTGGGAAGAAAGTGAAATTTTGGGGGGGGGGGGTTATTTACACTTTTTTAGAATTTTCGCCTCTTTTATTTAAATAGGAAGGCATATTGGTCATTTTACACTAAAAAACAGTGAAAATGACTTTCAACGCAAAAAAAGGTAGAAATAGGGGCAAAAATGTCAAAAAAAAAAAAGGAAAGGACGTTTTGTGCCAATTACCCATAAATAATATACATTTCTTATTTGTCTTTTGGAAAAAAAAGTGCAATGTCATCAGTTTCGGAAATTTTAAAGCAAGGTATTTTATGTTTGATTTCTCAGTGTCATTGTGGCCCTCTAGGAGAGATCCTACATTAACATAGTTCTTGTCATTCGAGGCAGGGGCGAAGGGAGGGGGCAGGTTTGGGCCCCAGGCCCAATTCATCTATTCAAGGTTAAAAAAAAATAAAAAAAAAATAATAATAATAATAATAGGAAGTAAAATTAATGGAATATTTTTTTTATCCCCTATCTCTGCTTCTGATTCTGTGGATAACTTACATCTCCATAGTTAAATAGTGGTTTTGATTAGAAATGTAAAGTGAGGTGGACTTCGGCTCTTGTGAGAGCTTGTATTCTCGGTTCACATAGATTTGTATTGAAATTTTCAGCGATCGACCAGCATGCCTGTTGGTTGGTTTATAAATTATTTTTTACATGGATAATTTTGTATTCTTTAAAAAAAAAAAATGAGGGAGAGTGCTCATACAATTAAGGGCCCATTTGAGAAAGTTTTAACTTCTTGTAAAAAGGTTTCGTAATCAAGTGATTTCAGTTCCCGTTTCTTAAAAAACTCTTCTTAT